TGTAATCCGAAAAAATCTATATTTTCCGTTTTATCTTTCAATAACATCGACTTATTTAAAAAGGATAACATTTTATTTTCAAAAAAGTTCTTTAAAAAATATGCTGCACCGTCTCGCCCATAAAGAGATATACTTTACGAAAAATATATTTGGCACAAGGCGACGCTGCGTCGGTCTCTTGATATACATTTTATGTAACGTTTATATATCTTTTTATATATTTTAAAAGAATATATTTTTATATGCGCACGCATCGCACTCTTCAAATGCCTCCTGCATTACACGCCGCATAAGTTTATAAATAGAATCCTATCCCGAGTTCTGGCGCGAATTATAGATCGGCTGAATCGGACTTGAGGCATTCGGGGAAAAACCGGGCAGATCGGTGTGCCGAATATAGATTAGAATTAGATCGCCGACGGTCCCAGACGGTTTTCCGTGGACTCGTTCTCTAAGCGTCGAGACCCGCGCGAGGTCTGCGCTGAAATTCGAACGCCTCCGCTTTAATAAGCCGTTTCCAATTAGAGCGAGCGAGGCGCAGAGCAACGCGGCCGCGTTTAGAAAGTTGCTTTGATCGGTCGAGCGTGCACGAGCCCGAACGATTTTCGACGCTTATCAACGCGGCACGCATGTAGTATACGCGAGGCGGATGCGACGATAACGGGGCGGCTCGTTCAATTCGCCGGGCGTTATCAGGCGTGGCGTGCAAGATAATCGTTGCATCGAATTTCATCTTTTATATCCCGCAAGTTGTATCCCTACCGGAGCATGGTATCCATCGCGATGGTATCAATAAATTGACAACAGTAATTACCCCGGAATAAGGATATTGTTTATATATGCAGTATGCTATGCAGGGTGTCATGTATTGCAGTACAGAATAGACAATAGAGATTCCATATATATTCCGCGAATATTACATTTCGAACGTTTTAACTTGAGAGTCATAAAACAGATTGCAGAAATATAAAATAATTTTGATGGGATAATGCAGATCGTGCGTAATTAAGTATTCTTCGAGACGAAATAAGCGCGTCGTTAAAAACTTATGTCAGGATAGAGCTTTAATGTAGTGAGTTTAATCAGCTCTTCCGGTCAAAATGTCGTTGATAATTTCCTATTTCGCGTTTATCTCGGCGTCCCTGGCAGTCGGGCCCGGTTCGCCCGAGTTCAACTACGATCCTGATTAACGTGAATGGCGGGAAATCACGTCGTTTGAACGCCGATGACAGCGAAAATGGTGGCGGGGTCAGCAACGGCAATAGAATTTGCACGTCTTTGTATCCGATGAGCCTAGGGTGGAGGCGGCGGAGGTGGAGGTGGAGGCGGCGGCGGCGGCGGCAGCGGCGGCGCCGTGAGCGAATTCTCGCGGCACCTCGCGGCGTCCGAGAACGACGCGACGGGGCGCGGAGCAGCCGAGCCGTCCGAGCCGAGGCCGAGAATCCGGCGCGATTTCGCAGCGGCGCAGCGCAGCGCAGCGACGGCCCTGTGTGCGGCCGGGGGTTGATTGGTCTCTCTCTCTCTCTTCTGTCCGAGGTGTCGTACGTACTCGCGGCAACGACGGCGGTGGCGGCTTTTGTTGTTTCTCACGCGAGTGGTGCGGCAGGCGCGAAGAGAGGAGCAGAGAAGCGGCGGCGTGTGTAACGTAGAGCGTTACGAGCCACCGGCGCGGCGGCGGCAGCAGTGAAAGAGGAGGAGTAGCCGGAGTAGGAGCGGAGAAAAAGAGAGAGAGAGAAAGAGAAAGAAAGGGAGAGGGGACGGACAGGGAGAGAGAACCAGCGTCGGGAAGCGCGCTGGCACGCGGTATAGCGAAAAATGGCGAAGACGTTTCGCGCGGTGACGGTCTCGACTCTGTCAAACAATGGACAGTCCACGCCGAAGTACAACAAACCGGTCGCGCTCAATATCAATTACGACCCGCAGGGCCTCAGCGTCGAGCTCGTCTCAGGTACGGACCCGCGGCGTTCCTCGCCGTTCGCGCCCCATCGCGCACCCGTCGTCGTCCGACGGCCGTCGGCCGACGCGGCCGACGGCGACGCGGCTGATCGATCACGCGACCGATCGCGCGGACCCGGACAACATAACCACACTTCCCGTCGCGTCACGCCGATTCTTTTTTTCCTCCCTCCTGGCTCAAGTCGAAAGACCCCCCTCCCCCTCCCCGCGGTCGATTGCCGGTCAATATCGCGTCCTTCCCTTCTTTCCCAATTTGTGTCTTACATTTTTTTTTTCCTGCTCGTATGCCTCTTTTCTTTTGCTCCAACGCTCCTCTCGACTGCCGTTCGAGCGATTTGTATCCAATTGTATCTGGTTCTCGTCATTTGTTGTACTGACACCGATAATGAGTCGTCAAGATGACAGCTCCAAGTCGAATTCTATTGTTTAGGCGATACTGACACTATTGTTATATTTTATATCGTTATGTTGGAAAGATTACCTTATTATTATTATTATTATCCAATAAGATGGTAGAAGATGACACTTGAAATGTAGGAAGTTGTATTGATCTAGAACTGTTCATTAGAGAAACGTACATTATCTTGATGATTTTTGTGACTACTTTTTATTAACGGTATTTATGCGACTATATTTTTTACTTCGTACTCTCTCTCTTCGATATTCTGTAATAAAATATGAGGAAAATAATTTGTCATTTTCGACATCCGTTTTAGGAGATGTTAGCAGCAGGGAGAAAGCGACTCTGTTGGAATTCCCAGTGACTCCCAGTACCGAATGCTCTCGTGTATCATCTCGAAGTTATGTTTTTACGCTTGATACAGATAGCTTACTGATTACATTCGCTAATGAAACAGGTGAGCCAGCAACTTTCCTCGAAGCCCAATCTTCTTGGATCGTCGTGCACTAAGCTTTCACGTGAGATAGAAATCACGAAGCATATATTTCTGATGTCCAAAAAGATTTATCTGTGAGAGCAGAACTTTAACACGTATGTTTCATTCACAGATTTCCGTAATTTTCACTCGCACATAGTAAAACTCAAGATGGGGAAAGGCGTGTCAGCGTTTAACGAGAGAACGGAAGAATCCTCGGCGATGCAGTATTTCCAATTTTACGGTTATCTCTCGCAGCAGCAAAACATGATGCAGGATTACATTAGGACTAGTACATACCAGCGAGCGATTCTTGGAAATCTGTCTGATTTTAAGGATAAAGTTGTCCTAGACGTAGGCGCTGGTTCTGGCATATTATCCTTCTTCGCCATACAAGCTGGCGCGAAAAAAGTATATGCCGTGGAAGCTAGCAATATGGCAAATCATGCCGAGCTACTAGTTGCAGCTAATAATTTATCAGATAAAATAATAGTCATAGCTGGAAAAATAGAAGAGATCGATTTACCCGAGCATGTGGACTGTATAGTGAGCGAGCCTATGGGATACATGTTGTACAATGAACGAATGCTCGAAACCTATCTGCATGCGAAAAAGTGGTTAAGTCCAGGTAAATGTTCCGAAAAAGAATTCGCCGTGTGCTGTTTCTCGTCTTACTGCACCTTTTTTCTTTTTCCTTAATTGAATTGTTTTTGTACACAGGCGGAAGAATGTTTCCCTCCAGAGGTGATCTGCATATCGCACCCTTTTCCGATGAAAATCTTTACATGGAACAATTCAATAAGGCCAACTTTTGGTATCAGACATGTTTCCATGGGGTAGATCTCTCTGCCATGAGAAATAACGCCATTAAAGAATATTTTAGACAACCGATTGTCGATACTTTTGATATTAGAATATGTATGGCAAAATCTGTAAGGCACATAGTAGACTTCCAAACAGCTGATGAGACTGATTTACATAAAATAGGTATGGAGTGAAAAGTTAAAAATTATATATTAACAAGATGTGATATGTCACTGCTAACATTCAAATTGTGTTCCCTTTAGAAATAAATGTCGATTTTCATATACTGGAGAGTGGTACATGCCATGGTTTAGCTTTTTGGTTCGATGTAGCATTTATCGGATCAACGCAACAAGTTTGGTTAAGTACTGCTCCGACAGAACCTCTTACACACTGGTATCAAGTACGCTGTCTCTTAGAAAATCCATTGTTTTGTAAAAGCGGGCAACTACTCTCCGGAAAAGTCATTCTTATAGCAAATAAAAGGTGAGGGGAATATAAGTATCTGTCTCTAATTTAAGTACTTACAGTTACAAAATTGTTTCTCAACATTTTGCCATTATCTTGTGTATATACATACTATATTCGTTTCAGACAATCCTACGACGTAACAATAGAACTGAAGCTTGAAGGAACGAATCTGGAAAGCAGTAATAATACCTTAGACTTGAAAAATCCTTACTTCCGATACACAGGCGCTGCGGCACAGCCGCCTCCTGGTTTAAATAATACCTCGCCCAGCGAATCCTACTGGACGACCCTGGATGCGCAAGGCGCCCGACAAGCGGTGAATATGGTCAATGGAATGTCGGTTAATGGTCTCGGGGAAGTCTCGATGGATACAAGCGCAACAGTAAATCCAAATAATTTGCTGGCAATAGGTAAGGTTTGGTTTGACTCTTCAGTGTACCATTACATGTATTAATTGTGCCATGTGGAATATATAACATTTGTAATCAACGTTCTTGCCACGTGCATCATGTCCCAGTGGTTTTTAATTCTCCGACATCTAATTTTCATGCAAAACGTATTTATGAAATTCTGTGTCGCAAAATGTATGAAAGGTGCCCACATGGTCAATGAATGATCTCGGCTCACCATTCTATGTATTCGATATATATACAATATTTAAAACATAAAATATCTAAATATAAAATATTTCTCTCAGTGATAATAAACGTCTTTATAATCTGAGACATCCTAAATTCCAGTATTGCTCAAAATAAGTATATTTCCTTTTTTAAGTTTTCTAAGTATATTATTTACTATAGTGCATTTTATATAATGTGTATTGTACAAGAATATTATAATCCTATATTTTTTTGCCAAAGTTTTACTTGTTTTACTCTGTTTGATTAAAACCTTCTATATTAACAATTCCTTACAAAAATACTAGCATGAAATAGGATATTCCCAAAACCTTTTATTTTATGTAGTATTGTACAAAATGATTTGAAGTTATTAGATGTTCTTAGTGTAGAAAATTTTTCTTTTGTGTATACGTATTGAAATCATGAAATAAAAATTCCTGTGGATAATAATAACAATTGCAGTTGATAAAACATTTAGATGAAAGATATTAAATATAAATTACTTTTGATTATTCGCGCGATGCTGATATTATTATAATTACAGATTAATTGTTTATTATATAAATATCAAATTATCAAATTATTGCCGGACCTTTTAATTGTACTGGTACTTACGGAATGGACACACACATTTTATTATTCTGCATCCTGGAAGATATTTGTACAAAGAAGAAAAAGTTCCTTGTAATTGTTCTAATTTATACATATTTTGTAGAATTTACAACTCATGTAAATAAACTTGTTTTTAGTAGTACGGATTTATAAATATTTAACTATACTCTCTAATATCCCATTTAAAAAAGTTGTGTTCTTTTTCTCCCAACATTTAGATATAAGTTATAATTGTTCTATTATTTACTGTAACATATGAATTGGCGATAAATCGAATCAAATACTATAATTAAAATTTTCCTCTTTTTTATTAATATCCGCCATTAGTGATGAATATAATAATTGTTTATATATATATCTTTCTATTAAATAATTTATTTATAAATACAGTTCTTTGGTCCTTTTGCATAATTAAAACGTTTTTATTATAACGATTGTAATGTTTCAAACACAACTCTTCTCTAGATCATTTTCGCTTTTAAATAATAATCTTTTTTTTTCACTTAATGAAAATTCAGTATAAGCAGTTTAATATAATGTCAGTGTGTTATTTTATATCTTTAAACTGTTTTACTCATTTTATTCGTACAAGTAAACGAAATGTACGAATTTTTATGTAACAGGAGGACAACCAAACATTCATCCGGGTTCTATTTCGAGTACAGGACGAGGTCGCGTGGGAGGTACGGCTACAAGCACACAAGCGGCACAATTGATAGGCGGTGGAATAACTCCAAATATGTTTACGTCACCTGCCACTGTAAGTACAATTCGAAAATTTGCATTTTTACAATGAGCTATCAAAGCAATCAGAAATGTATTTTAATTAAAATAATACTTTAGAGATGAAATCACAAGCATGAAATAATTGTTCTGCTGAAAAATTGTTACAATATGCGCGCGCGCGCGTGTGTGTATATGTAATATAGTTTGCTATACATTTAATAAAATTTACGTGAGAGACGAAAACTAAAGCAAACGTCTGCTTGCGTGACTTTCGCGCTACAGCTTGGTGTTACTTTCCAGCAATCGCTGGTCCTCGGCAACACTTCTCATTATCCAGTGAATCCCAGCCTGATGATCGGTGACTACGTGACACCTGGGAACGGCATATCGCCGCAGACATTTCGGCAATGATCTATGGCGAAATCGTTTCTCGCCGAGTATTCCCGCAAAGTAAAACAATTACAGAACGATCGTAATAGTTGTAGCAGTATTGGAGACATCGGCAACAACAGTAAGCAAGGTCGCAAACTGGTATTTAGCTCCCCAATCAGTAAGCTTCGACTCTCGTCTGCCGTACGAATTTTAAGTACCGTCGACCTGGCCAATCTCAATTCAGACTTTAGACACAGCAACGTTTCTTATTCAAGCAAAAGTACAGCCAGTCCTGGGTTTGCGTTCGATTGGAATCCCGTCAGGAATAAGTCTCAATGGGAGGCACGTTGGAAAAGACTGCGAGCCGTCCTCTCGTAGTTGTCATTAGCTCTCATACAATCGATTTTTATTTGGTCGTCACTTAGAAAAGAAAAGGAAAAGAAAAGATCTTCCATCGACGTGCATGCTTGCCAAATATATCCACGTGAAAATATAATATTTTTAATGACAATATACAGTCGCTATAGTATAGGCGTCACTATTTTACGAAGTCTTGACATAAATCCTTGAAACGATAACTTATATAATGAAGGAGATAATCGGAAATGATCGCGCGTTGCGATCCGTTTGTTTTAATTCGAATTGAGATGATTTAGAATCGACTCGAAGTACTCGAAGACAGGCATATTTTACTAAGCTCTGTCGTTGGCTTGGTTGGGTTTCGATATCAAGCGACTTTTACACGAGTTTTTAGAATAGGAAAAACAGCGACGTTTCGAACATTTTGAGAAGTGCAAAGAGCAATAATACATTAGGGGCATATGTTGTAAAGCACTCTGTGGCGTTACCTGTTATTCAAGATGTCTCTTGCGCTTGTTTTAATCAACGTGTCTTTATTTCGTTAGCATGACACAATACGCGAGAAAGTACAACTTTTTTATGAGTATTAGCTATTATCGCGTATATTTCAGTACCCTGTAAATCTGTGTCGAGAATAATCATTTTAATTGTTTGATAGGTGTGAGGCAGTTATTCATTGATCGATTACGTTTCGTAGATAAATTGTATATATATCCGAATGTATGACGCAAACATAGGTCGAGGGATACTTCATCTGGAAAAAAAAGGAAACAGCGGCTATTCATTAAAATCGCAAATTACGAACGTGACAAATTACATTGCCATAGTATGTAAATGTAATTGCAGGTTCATCACAAATGCACTACACATCCCGGGCAAGAATCGCTCGAATGGAATCTTATAGTTTTATGTAAAATGATCTGTAATTCGTAAAGCACTGCTTTGCGTTACACTTAATTTTTTTTTACATATATTTTGTAATCGTGAGGAATGTCTGTTTTGAAAGATTCTTCTAAATCTTTGTGAAAAATCCAATTGCGCGTATAAATAACGACGTTAAGTTTTAAGCTACATTATCCATAAATTAAAGTACAATAGATATATATCAAATAGCATTTTATTAAAGCATATTATTAAAAGTCATTTTTGCGTTGTATTTGTATGTATTTTGTATATCATGATATTATTAGAATAATTAATAATGAAAAATCTTTGAAAATGGACGTTTTTTGCATTGATGATCTATACACACTTAGTAAGTGATACTTGGAAACACGCATATTCCCTGTATTCTAATAATGTTATAAAGTAAAATAGAAATATGCAGCCATAATGATTTTTTATCATCTTTAACCCTTTCCACTCATTGATATAGCGGTATAAAATTGTTACTGCACAATCATTATTTAATATCTATCGTACTTTTCATAGCTTAACTCATAAAAAAAACAGTAATTAATGTTAATTAAAATTGTACTTGATAAAATTTTCATTGATTATTTTTGCTAATTTTTTATTATCCGATAATACAAATTTGAGTGTAAAGGGTTAAATTGTGGAAACATTGACCGCGTAGTCTTTTGCAAACAAAGCAAATACGATGTTACATTTCATATATACTTCGTTCAATTAAGAATTTTTTAGTCCAGTAAATATGAGAATGGGAGACACCGTTAATCTCTAATATGGAAACTACTGTACATACACGTATATATCCTCGAATAATTTTTACATATTGTTTAAGAATATACCAATCGATCCATCAGAAATAGTACAACTGGATAATATTTTTAGATTTGAAGGTGCAGGTTACAAACGTCGTTTGTATAACTTTAAGGAATAAATGCGACAGATAAATTTTTTTAGAAATTTTTGGATTTTATTTAATAGAATAATATATTTTTACTTCTTACGTATTGTAGTTAATACTAGGCTGTATAATTATCTCAATTTATTTGAGATGTCGAATGAACAGAAATGTCTAAATTGTAAATAGTTTCGGGATATAGTTTAGTAATACAGCAGTTTGTCAGGTAAAAGAAATGACTCGAGTTGTGTCACCTTACAAAGAATTTTGAGCAAAAGAACATTATTCTATAATAAAAACAAAAATTCTACGCTAACTGGACAATAAGTCGTAATTTTCTTGGAGGAAAGAAGTCCGTTAATATTTATTAATATATAATATATATATTATAAATATTCTGCACGTTTTAGATATCTTCAAATCTAAGGAATTATTCAGGCCTTCTGTTCCTGATGAACTACCGTGTATAATTCTAAGATCTCGAGAGGATTCTCTTTTAAGTCTTATTAGGTTTTAAGAAAGTTACACTTTATTTGTTACCTGCACACACACTTGCCATCTGAACGCATCTCCTAGTTACCTCATCGCCGGTTAATAAATGTGGCTAGATAATATTTGTACTTACTTTTTACAGGATCTTTCGTACTTCGCGTACACGCACACTTGCGAAGGGTGTAAATATGCGCGTCGCTATTTCTCGATGAAGTATTTCTGGAGAACAGAAGTATCATACGCTTGTTAATACGCGCCTCGGCACATATACAAACCAATCTCGTGACAGGCATTCCACAAGTGCTACTAATACTGCATGGTTTGTTGTAATAATTAATATAAGGACTTTGCTTCTTCCATCGTTTCGTTGAGATAGTAACACCGTCCGTCAGCAGTGTCTAGAACGTAACTCCGTCTTGTTTCCTCTCCTTTTCTTTTCGTATGTCACCATTGGAAGATCAAAGATTTAATCGCAATATTAAAGATGACAGGACGATGTTTAATATCGATTACGTTTCTAGGTGTTGCTTTCGGCGCTATCTTACATTGCTGTGGATGTGTGCGATTTTTCTTTTTGTACCGTTAGAATATCGAATGTATAAGACTGCTACACCGCTCGGAAAAACATACGCGACATTACATATCTCGTCCCAGTTGTACTCTTCGCGATTTTTATCGTCTTATTTTTATATCGTTCCGAGTTTTTTTTTTAAGAATTTTTCCGCACAACTAGTGTATATAATGTTTCGTTGAAAGATACGTGTGCCGGCTTCTCTAAATCAATTATTTTTTAAATCGAATCTCGAACGTTTTATTCCTAAACTGGGGTACACTTCGTTAGCTAGCTTTCGCTCGTGTATGTTTTCTGGCGGTATATCCGAGTATTAAGTAGTCCAGCAGTGTTATATAGGAATCTGTGCGTTTCAACGACTGAAAACTATATAAGATATCTCAGGTAGTTACGCGAGCTCGAAGAATGCCTTTATTGCGCTAAGTGTCTGGATTTTATTCGGTTCTTTAAGTTCTTTCGCGATTACGATAGCAGATGCAGTGCGGACGCAGGTTTTCGTTCTTACGATTCATATCTCGGTAAAGCGTAGGCATGACTTGACGAAAACATTGTATAATCGCATAAAATCAGACTCATACAAATATAATCTATAGCGTAACTGTGTAGTAAGATTGATCAGTCATGTTTAAGATAAGTTTTTCTCGAACTGATGGTTTCCTTCGTTATACCTGTGGGACTACTCATTCACGTGATAATTTTTCAAGGAATGTTTCGGCAATACCTTTCTGCAGTTCTAGCAGATAACATTCTGAGTATGCCTAAATAATTTTAATCAAGATTATAAACACAGCTAATTTATAGATTTTATTTTGCAGATTACCGAAGCTTCGAAATTCAAAACGTACGATTTACATAAAAGTATGTTACACTTCTGCCATGCACGTATGAGAATAAAATTCTAATGGAAAAGAAACAATTTGACGCATCAGAAATTGTAGTACTTACAGATAACAGGATTACAGTAAAGCGGAGGCATGGTTTTTAACATGACATTACTAGTTATATTAATTGTAAATACAACAATATTTTTGCAGCAAAGGCAACCTTTTTTACCGTTTATAAGAAATTTTTGTTTCATACATTGTACACACAATTTTTAGACATTGTTTGTAAGTTTAGCGTTTACGCTTATATTTTAATAAGTTAATAAATTTCGTGTTCATGATGCATCACATGATAATTTACTGTCAATTTAAGATATTATTTTTTTGTAAAAAATAAGTTTTGACGTTCAGTTCAATTCGAGTGCGACTGTATTACGCTGAATTAGACATGTAAAATTAGGAGGATACAAATATAAGCTTGCGATAAGTTATTTGATTTTGTCGAAATCCGCCAGGCAGCAATCTTTGGAATTGAGATCTTTTTCTCTTCTCCCAGAGAGCCTCATTTTTAATAAAAATATTTCAACGAATTGTCTAGCATGTATGTGTATTTTATGTGGTCATTAAACCTTTTTGTAATTACGACCCGTCAATATTGTAGTCTTTTACATTAATATTATCATTGTGTTTTGTCATTAAGGGCAAGTAACTGAGAAGATGTTGAGAAAACAATATTTATTGCAAGTGAGACTCACAATTATGATACATATTATGACACGATTAATTTTGCGTACAGCAGAGAACTCTTCTATTCTGAAACAGCTATTCCCCTGTGATTTGAAATTCTTCTTTAGTGCTTTCTCTACGCATATTTACCACGTGACCACGTGACTACATGCACAATTTCCTTACAAAAAGAGCGAACGAAAGACAAAACGCGTAACATTTTTATTTTACGTGTGTGTCATTAAAATAAGAACAAGATTTAGGGAAGAATAGAAAAGTTCGGCCATATATTACAAAGACTTATACAGATTTTTTTTCCCTTAAAACGACTTTGTCGATATCTATTTACGTTCTCACTTTATATAACACTTAACAGAATTACGTTCGGCAATGTTGCATAATAAATAATATTACCCGCTTTTAAAAAAATTATCTAATACATATATTTACGAGTACAAGTACCATTGTTTCTTGTACATTAAACAGATCCTCACTTACGTCTTCGTCCTCGTTATTTACTTTCCGTTCCAGCCGAAGACGACGTGGGCAATCATCAGATATACCATAATTGTTATGGTACTCGTTAGCATGATAGGAAATCCTACCCTGCAACACATCGAAACAATCACGCAGCGCTTCAGCCTTTAATTATGACTTCAATGACGGGAAATGATAAAGATCTTCGAAACGCGATGACACATTTTCCACCGACTGCAAGACGCAGCTTTGTGACGTCGCGGTTTCACTTACCTGGAGAATTGCATGAAACTGAACCTATAGCCGTGTTGTTCCGCGACGCCCATGCAGACAACGTTGGCGGTAGCTCCAATCAAAGTTCCATTTCCTTTAAACATAACTGTTTAGCTAAACAGCATTGCTAATCAGCCATGTGAATACCGGAAAAAACTGGCGCTTTTGCGTTGCAGCTTGAAAGCGCCAGTTTCCGAGACATGGCCTTTGATTAGCGTTAATCCGCGAACACGCGAACATGCGAACCGAATTGAGAGAATCGAATCATGACGATGCTGTACAAAACTCGAAGGATAATTTTATAGCAATTCAGCTTTTGAGGACGATCGTTGGATCTATAGAAAATTGTTTACCTCCCATACAAGCCCCGAACGTCAGCGCCCATACCAGAGGCTGCATAGGTAGACCGAGCTCGCGATTTTGGGCGAGATTCGTCGCGATTCTCACCATCATGGTGGCGAGCGGTACATTGTCGACGAAGCAGCTAGCGAAAGCCGATACCCAAAGCAACAGCAATATAGCGACCGCTAATCGGGACTCCTCATTGACCGATAGAATGAAATCTTCAGTTTTTTTGCCGATCCACGTGATGAGACCCAAACGCGAGAGTGCCTACGGAATTTTTTCAAATGCTGTTAAACTTTTGGATTCCTTTCAGTACAAGAAAACTCGAGAAATCTGCATTAAAATTGACAAGAATTTTTTTTAGAGCTTTCCCAACACTACCTCCATGAGAATGAACAACGACGCGAAGAATAACAAGGTGCTCCATTCGACGCGCGCCATAAGACCGTCGAAATCCTCGCTGTCGGCCAATATCAGAAGCAACAAAACGCCCATCAGAGCGATCCAGCCCAAAGACAGATTTAAATGAGGCAAACTGTGCAGGAAGAAGAGCGTGATAACCAAGGTCAGCACGCATCCTGATTTTGCTAGCAGCCATTTGTCCCTAATAGGATACTGGAAAAGAACACTTTCGTAAAAAAAAAATGCGCGAAATGCCGCTGCGATTGGTAGTCGAGACACAATGACAGCCCTCGAAAGACGAAGGATTATTCAGCTTGCCTTTTCTTGTAACTCCTCAAGCGTGGTCTTGTACCTCTCTAACGCCGCGCTCCCTGTCATTAGCTTCCTCTTTAACTGCGACAACAAACGTTGCACTTTTTTCAGTAACGTCTCTCTCACCAGATTCTCATCCTTGCTGTAATTGGATAGACTGGCCGCCGCTCGTTGCCAAATAGCGATTGTGTGCCTCAATTCCTGCGGGTGGATAATCACGCGCAAGATGATAATTTATATTGTAATTTGTAGTTTGCGGCGTACATACCTGTACGTCTTGCGGCTCGTCGAATCTAAGGACCGCGACGTCTCGAAAAATATAGCGGACTTGCGCGCTGACCACGATCAACACCAATACCACGCCGATGCTCATGTGCAACGAGAACGTACCGAAATCTATTTCCTACGGCGATATAATGCAATGATAATTAATCGAAATAATGATTATCAGGTCGAGATTGAAGACGTTGAACGACGCAGCTGCATGTAACTTACGGCGTTCTTAACGTCTCGATTAGAAGCAATGATGACATTCGGTGGGTCGCCGACCGGCGTCATGGCACCTCCGATGTTGGAGTAAACCACCATGGCGGTCAAGATCGGTACCGGGTTCAGCTCCATCACCTCGCACAACCTAATGGTTACCGGTGTCATTAGCAGCACGGTCGTTACGTTGTCCAGCAGCGACGACAAAAGCGCGGTGAAGAAGCAGAGGGCCATTATCAACGGCCACAATTTTCCGGCGGTTATCTAAAAATGAATGGTGAATAAAGGCATCTCAAAGTCGTTTTAATTATTTCACTTTAGACGTGTGCCAATTTTTTTTCTCACTTTATAAGCGTAGACCGCCAGCCAGTCGAACACACCAGTTTCGGCGATGATGGCAACCAGCACCATCATGGAAAACAGTAACAGCAGCGTGTCCATGTCTATCCAAGAGATCAGTTCGCCCATACTTGGTCGCTAAAATGCAAAATACCGCTTCTTAAATTTGTCTCTCAAAAAAATTCCTTCACAAACGTGGAAATTAGAAGAGAATGTATTTGCGCGTACCTCGTTTAGAGCCGCCAGGATCGCGATGGACATCGTGGACGCCAGTATGGCAGCCAGAGCTCTGTGCACTACCTGATTCGGTTAAACATAACGGGGTATTTAGGAGTTGACAGGAGTAAGATACATCCTAATTCGCGTAAATGATTTTACCTCGAAAATGATCATGATGTACAAGCCGATCAAGATGAAAGCTGCATACGGTAAGCCGATATCGGTGTTTATAGGCGACAGATTGTAAGCTATCGAAAACGAAAGACTGGACTCCGAATTTGTGTATAGCTTGATGAACATTACGCCGTGCGAAAGGGTCCTATAAACCAAACATATATTTTGCTAGGAGATTCTGTTTGAGATATTTCTGCTGGCGTTTTTACCGATAAAATTTGTAGCGAATTTTGTACGCTTTGCAAAATTTTATTTTCGTTACGTTTGAGCAAGAGTAAAATATGAGATAACGCACTCGCTGTCGACGTTTACTTGGAAAGTCCACTGGTGCCTCTGATCGGGGAAGATGTTCATCAAATTTTCAGGCAGTACCGGCAAGATCCACACGTCGCTTACGTTCTGCAGCTTAACAATCGCAATTATAGCACAGCGTAGCTAGTTTTACGTCGCAGCATACTTACTCAGTAAGCTGAATGTTAGCAAATGTTTTCAACAGATTTAGCTATTTAGATAAGTACGCGCGAAATAATGTAATGGTGTAACATATATAATTAAGATTCTTATATCATTTTCATGAAATGTCTATAAAAGAAGAATATTTGAGATAACGAAAAACGATTCATTAATATGACTGATTCCTTTTTTTCTTTCTCTGTTTCAGGATCGACTAATTTTGGCTTCGTGTTCTTTTGATGCAAACGCGAGTGTACGCGGAATAATTTTGCACAAAGCACGCGTTTAAAGATATAGACACCTTCGAGTTCTCCAGCTCAGTAGAGGAGGACCATGAATTGGTTTTCCCGTCCACCAGAAGCTGCAGCCATATCATTAAATAGTGCGTGGATATATTCGCAGGTAAATAGTGCTTGTTTTTGGCTGATGGCAGCAATGGTCCTTCCATCGTCACGCTGATCAACTTGTTTACAACGTGCTCGTTGATTCGGTAATCTATATATTATTAAGGAGGTGAAAGTATCCCGACTGGTTGACGTTATTATATGACAATAAAATTGCATTTCTCTCGAGCTCAAAATAGACGAAAATTTGCGGTTGAAATTTTCTCGAGCGACTAAAAGGATACTTTTACTTTCTCCCCTGGACACAGATAGCTGATGCATCGTCTCAATCCTTTCGTTCTTGAACATCAGTATCATCTGCAATATGAACCGACATGAGATTTGTTAATCGACAGTCGACGCGATAGTTTCTTACTGTGAATAGCAGCCAACAGCAGGAGAGCACGATTAATTTTATGTAGCTGCAAAACGGTCTCTGTTTTTCTTGCGTTTGCACGTCTTCGTCGACGTTGTTCTGATGATTTTGCGCGCTGTGAAAGATACCGGGATTATTTATTACGTCCACTCGTTCCAAGACCCCATAGGGTCACGTTGAGATTCCCTCTTAGACGCTATATGTAAAAATGCATAGTGATTTACCTGGTTGGTGCCACGGGCTGTGTCCCGAGAGACATATTTACAATTAGGCACTCCCTTTGCACGTAGTCCGCAGATCTGGAAACGCGTTATATATAGAAACTCTAATTTTTTTCACCGATTTTCATCTAAGCTTATTTCGCTCACCTCGTTTCCGCTATTCGATCGTACTCCTTCTGAAAGACCGCCAAACTCGGATCCAGACGGATCGCCTCCGGCAGTTGACCCCAGGCGCGGAGCACTTCCTCGGGGATCTGTCCAAATACCACGGAACTCGAAACGGAGGAGGAGGGACTGATCGGGCTGCGCATAACTTTGAGGACACTTCGTTACGAAATTATATCGAGATTACAAATAGATCCCAGGACCGCAGACTCGGCGAAAAATACAAGCTGCTAACGTTCTTAAAGTATGCTTTATTAATTTTTTGGTATTTTGCAATTTAACAAGCGGATATGAATTTAATCTTATAATTATTTCACACTGTCTTCGTCTGGAAAAAATCAGTCGGGAATTATACGTCTTTGTTAGATTTACTAGATATATAAAAGAATCCCGTTGAAAGTTTGAGAGATCCAGACTCCTGGGTGGTTCGCGCGTTCGAAAATACAACTTGTAGTCCTGGGGTTGATATAAACAGACTCTGTTGTCCTTACTTGTACCTGAATTGTGACGGCTGCAGTGAGAAGTCGTGTTGAGTAACATTCGTGGCGTGTGCAGGCCAGTTTCATCGTCACTCGTGTCGTTCTGCGACATTATAGCTATCTATCCGAAATCTGCGCCTTATTTTGTCTCTTATTACATACAGATTTTTGGTCGAATTGAGATGTTAGGTTTATTAAATCCACGCATTGTCCATACACGTTATATTGCCGTCGCAGCTCCGAAGACACTGTATCGTACTGCTATAGGAAATAATTTCACTCGTACTCGCGAGATCCTCAGAGGTCACTTTACAGATTATTTACGTTTTACATGTAAACAATCAGGGAGCTTACGGAAATTCGAATTAAAATATATTAATGGAAAAGCATTTATCGGACGTGTCGTCTTATCGTTGACGTGAAAATTTTTATAATTTATGAAAAATCGTATATCGTATAAAATTGAGTTGAAATGAAAGAAATAGCTTGTTATTAGACGTTCAATAACGCGATCGTGCAGAGTGCGGGAAAAATTAAATATATA